AATTAAATCAGCAGTCTATTTTCGTAAATTTTTTTTTTAAATTTCTTTACTCTGCATCCCTGTTTCCTTAATATCTTGAGTTATCCACCACCCCTCTCTTCGGTAAAATTTAACCACTCGGTAACACAGACATTCTTAAAATTGAGGCTAACTACAACTGCAGTCTGGACACACAGCAAAATAAAACGTTTCACAACCAATTTTTTTGGGTGTTTTATTTTGCCATTTTATTATTTTCATTTTATTGTTGCCATGTTAGGCTTATCACCCGACTTGATATCTTTCTTTGTTCTACTGGAATGTTGACCTACACAGAGGTCGCTGTTCAGCTTTACTACAGTAAAGGAAAAGACCTCGTCTAAATCATTGTGTCTTGGTGTAAGCCTTCGCCGATTACAAGCGGGTGGGCACATGCTTCCAGTAGACGTCGCCATTACTCCATGGAGACCATCCTGGACACAATTTAACTTTGGACGTGTCTGATATCAGATTTATTTGTAGGTACGAACTTCCACGTTTTTTCAACATCAAAATGCAAAGAACAGTTTGATTCGATTCACAGAAAGCTGAACCTTTTGGTGCCCGATGTTTTGCCTTAATTACTGCCATGGATGAGCCTGATCAATCGAGAATCAGGGTATGCGATGGAGCAGATTACTCAGCATTGAACATGGCCGTTTTCCAATACTCAACTTCGTCTCTGTCTCAGGCTTTGTTCCCAAAACCAATCCCCGATACGCTACAGTAATGAGTGATTGAAGGCTCTCACCTATCATAAATCTTTGAAACGGCTCACTAATTACTAAGAAGTTTGTTTCCTTAACATTACTCCCTATGTTGTGATTTTAAGAGGGGGGAAAAATAATAGAATCACTCTCATAATCGAGAATCATGCATATGCCAAAGAATGCTGACTTGGAAACACCTAGCATGTCACTTCATTTGACGTCGTACTGGCGATCCAGGAGCAGTAGTAGGCAACTCGGGTGTACACTCCGGGGTAGAGGGGATTGGCGCAACCCCAGCCCCAGCTGACAACTCCCACGAGTGTTGTGCTGGGGAAGTGCGAATTAACTTCGAAGTCGCTGACAAGTGGACCACCGCTATCACCCTAGAAAAGAACGAGACCAACAGAAAACGTGCACTTATTGAATGTAGAGGCGGGGACCGTTCCGATTTGTTGCATGACTTGTCAGGGGCGGATCCGGGATTTTCCAGCTGATGGTTCAATCTTTTTCTAAATTCGTCGAAGCCATTTATTCTCTTTGTGTTGTCCTCAACCGAACACGCAAAGAAGATTGCTCCATTGTACTTTTCAGGTTAAGGCAACCTGTAGGTTAACAAAACAATTAAAAAAAAGGAATGGATGGCAATAAGTGTTGGATGAGGGAGATCCCTCCATTAGACACGTACCCACGCCTGTATATTTTGGCGAAAGTACGTTCAAGTTGGTGATGTTGGCCCGGCAGGGTGTCAGTCTTACCCAAGACCCGGCGAAGAGTGATTAGGAGCCAACTTGTGAAAAGCGTTCGGAAATGCAGATTGAAACTGAGTCTCTGGGAGCGCTGCACTGGAGAGTCAGATCAGACTGACCGGTATATCTGTCTTCTCTGTCGTGCCTTGCTTTTGGGGGGTGACCGCGGTTTTCCTACCTGGCAGGAGTCTTTCCCGGATGCTGCTGCGCATACCATGTTGTCTCTGATTCTTCCTTGCTGTTGCATGTAGTGTGATTCACTCCGTTTGCCACCGCCTGTCTCAGTGTGGTCGGGAAGTATCCGGCTTGAAGATTGAACATGAATTGAAGTGAATTATTACACCTTGTCAGAACATACCCCCCAGCTCCATATGCTTTTCAGAGTAAAAATCCTTTGTGTCTTGTCTTTTCCATAATCAGACAGATATCCTTTGGTGACATTTCGAANTACCCCGGCTCCACGCGGAGCCCCCTCAACATACTACATCTACACAAGTGTCATGGACCATTTTAAGGAAAACAACATCGTAAAATTTAATGAAGAACAACATGGCTTCCGTAGGGGGCGGTCATGCGAAACACAATTGGCGCTAACAATTAACGACCCAGGAAAAATACTTGACTGCCAAGGTCAAGCAGATGTCATCATAACAGATTTCAGCAAAGCTTTCGACACAGTTCCTCACAAATGTCTTTTCCTGAAGTTTCGACAGTCAGGTATCACAGGAAACCTAGACAGCTGGTTTAATAGAAAGTCTTTCTCACCAGGAGGACACAATCCGTTGTTTTTGGCTGGGGTTTCTACATCATCAGTCAGGTTACAATCTGGAGTCCCTCAAGGCACTGTCTTGGGGCCTTTACTCTCCATCCTGTACATAAATGATCTCCCTGTAGGTATAAGATCCCAAGTACGACTTTTCGTCGATGACTGCATTCTCTATCGAGAAATCAAATCTGAAGGAGACAGGGTGGTCCTTCAAAGTGATGTTGACACCCTATGCAACTGGATATCTAAATGGCAGATTAAATTTAATATAAATAAATGTTGTGTGATGCATATTACTCATAAACAGAAACCCTTCCAAACCTTTTAGATTATGATAGATTCTGTTGCAAATCATAAGTACCTTGGCGTTGAACTAAACAGCAAATTAAACTGGACAGACCACGTGAACATCACGGCAACCAAAGCGAACAAGGTCCTTGGTCTTCGGCGCAGAAACTTTTACAGTTGCTCCCGTAAGGTCAAAGAAACCCCCAGCTTACACAAATTGGACCACTGTGCTTCAGTGTGGGGCCCTTACAAGCAAGACCACAAAAACCGGTTGGAAGTAGATCAACTAGATTCGTCTGTATAAGACTCAAGAAGGACCAGCAGTGTCTCCTCTATGATATATCTGAATTGGGTTGGGAATCACTGGGAAACCGCCGGCCCGTATCCAGACTCTCACCCCTGTTTAAATCAATACATCATATGATAGCCATCAACACTGACAAGTATCAAATCAAACAAGCCGCCGAAAAAATTCACACCCGGAAATCAAATGCAACTTCCTTTTTTCACCTCACATCAAAAAGGATTGTTACAAATACTCATTTTTGCCAAGAACCATAGTTGAGTGGAACCTACTACCAACAGACATACGACGAGAAACTACAGCTGACAGGCTGCAGACAACATTAATCAACATGGACCTAACTACTTTTATCGGGGGGCGCACCTCGACACACCTGCAACAGTATCGTTTGAGGAGTTTGTTCGCAGAACCAAGAAGAAGAAGAAGTTGCGCGTTAACTTCCGGTTGTGCATGTGTAGTGGGCGTGGTTTAAACTGAAGTGACGTCACATTTATGAACCGGATATATAGTATCCATGTCACTGACCTGTTTTCTGCACTGCTCGCAGTTTTTCTTTGCTGCGTGAACAGAAAAATCTGTGCATGCAGTACAGGCGTGATACTAGGCCAATAATCACTCATGGACACGTGTATTTTGTTACGCTTACAAAGGGTCAAATGTACATATTATAGGCTTGAAAAATCTGGAGAATTTCAGACCCTGTGCGATCGTCGTCAGGTACTAACGAGAAAGTGGTGAGTACACACTGTGGCATGCTGGGTCAGTGGGTAGCCCCACTAGTGTGGCACGGACTCTCACTCGAGCGGGAGTGAGAGTCCGTGCCGCCGGGGTAGGTCAGTGGGTAGGTTTCATTTTTTTTCATAGTCCACAAAGTTTCAGAAACTATTGGCTAGGTACTTCAAGCCTGCTCTCATTGGAAAATATTTTTAGAAAGTGGAATATGCGTCACCAGTAATTTACCTCAGGAATCAAAAACATATGAGATAGGCCGAGGCCAACTGAGATAGTTTGATTTATTAAACTTCACGTGCAAGACCCTGCCTGAGCTGAGGCCTACCGTCATTCATTCCTCCCCACTGCCTGTGCAGCGTGCTCATGTCATGGGTAGGGAAGGGCAAATGTGTTTCACAGTTTTCAAGAAGTGGCTGTTCTAAAACCCCCATCGACCCCCAAGACACGTCCGTATACATGTATACAGCCACTGATTCCAGTCACGCGCTCACTCATCGTTTTTAAGATCACAATTTTTTTAGTTTTGGAATATTTTGAACGAATATATAGGCCTATGCAATCACAAGCGAAACATGGCCCGGTCGAAGAGCTGTTTTGTGTAGGCCTTGAACTAGTCGAGAGGTTCAAAGGTTCAGGCAAGGTCGTGGGCGTCATGAGAGAGGTTTCAGAGTACCCTCACACTGAGCCATTGTCACGCAAAATAATGTGGGTTATCCCTGCTCTGCGGTGAAACTCAGTGCGCACCTGTGCACACTATAAATGTTAACCTGTACGTGCTATCTTAAAGTTAATTTTTTTCTTTCACGTTTTTTGATGTATCATCATGCAGATTCGATTCAGCCGTAGAAGTGCTTGTGACATCCCATGTCATGAATTAATAATGAATTTTTATACATCTGCTAAAAAAGTGATTTTGGAGCTGTTTGGTATTTCAATGGCGCAAGCCCAAAATGAAGCGCATGCAAGTTTATTCATAAAAACGTACACGTATCCGCTGATCCCTTAACTTATTTTTGAAGTTTTCCATTGGAGACCTAAGCCAAAAAAGATGCCATATTACAGTTTACGGAATTTCTCAAACATGAATTTCATTCAGCATTTGTTTTATTGTGTGGTAACTTCATTTCCCCTGTTCTTAAACAGTGCTATCCTTAGTTGTCACTCCTAGACCTTTATGTTATTCCCTAGTCTTACTGTACTGGAGATAATTATTTTCAATTTTTTTTTCAAATTTCACAGGCTGTTGCTTACGTGTGACTGATTTGCGACCGTTAACCGTTGAGCATGGCCGAGCCGACGCTGTCCCAGCATCGCATTTTCTGCTGGTCAACTCCCCGTTCCCTTTCAACGGCCTTCATGAAATGTCTGTCGATGACAGAGGGTGCCATGGCCTGGATGGAACCATTCAGCACAGCGGAGCATTTTGGTCCCGAGGGACGCCTAGCACCTCCTGAAGAGGTCCCCACCGAGCCTGACTACAAGCCTGTCTGGATTCAAGAGAAGTTGGAGGGTGACTTTGAGGGTCACAGCTTGGTCTTCGTGAAGGACCTGGCCTATGCCGTCTCGGACAGGCTGCAGTTTCTCCCAACGGGTTACCGCCATTCTTTCCTGATCCGCCATCCGCTGAAGAGTTACATGTCCTATTACCGCTTGTTCGAGAAGATGTTTGGAGAGGAAGGCAGCGCTCACTTCAAGGGCTGGCTGCCAAGGAAGGGGTTCGGGTACGGGGAGCTTGCAGAGCTCGCTGATTATATTGAGCAAGACCTCGGACAGCCGCTGGTGATTGTTGATGCCGACGACATCCTGAGACAGCCAAAGGTCATGGTGGAGAAGTACTGCCGCGCTCTGGGGCTGCCATTCTCCGATGCCATCCTGACCTGGGAGCTGGGTATCCCCAAGAATTGGATCGTACCTAAGTCAGTGAGAAAGACAGACGAAGACTACCATTGGATGACCACAGTGTTAAGCAGCCAGTCGTTCAACAGCAGTCATCAGACAACTATCAGTCAAGATGAGGTGCCTCAAGTCGTGCAAGAGATGCTTGAAGTCGCTCTACCCTTTTATGATAAACTTTATGCAAAGCGTCTACTCCCATCTTAGAAAGATTTGTTACTAATGTGGGGAATCAGTTACTGGAAATAAATCTAACCACCCTGACCTCACTGCAGCTGTGAATTTTCACGTAAACATAATGTAGTCCATTACTGGAATGAATATGTATTCCTTATTTAGGTAGAATAACTTAAATA